GTCATGTCATCCTCATTCTGTCACGCATCTAATACATAACATCAAGACTACCACCCGTAACAAGAAATGGACATATGCCATGGCAAAGAAGAATGGATGATTAAAGAAAAATATGTCAACTCATTTGGCTCAGAATTGCGTATAAAAACATCATCTCAGTTTCGGAGCACTACTCTTATGGCATGACAGTTATGCTACCAAGCCTCATTCTAACAGGTAAGGGATTTTAGAGCTAAAATTTTAATGCATCATAAAAGGACAGCGCATCACATTCAATCTAACATAACCCGCATAAATAAAGCAGTAACTGATAAATGCCTAAATACCAAAAGGATAACGCTACAACGAAACCGATATGCATACAAAATATAATCATTGCCAATAATCGAGCGAAGATGAACAAACACATCTTCTCATGATACATTACGTGTAGTGGATATATGTAAATAGGAGACAAAGAGCTTATTAGAAGGAGGATAAGAGCATTAAACATTTTAACATACCAATTAATGGATGCAATATTGTAAACGCGGTTAAAAAATAGGTATGTGTTCACATTCTATCACAGGGTACGCAATGGATGAAAAAATGAAAGCCTACATTCATATGGACAAGCTAAAACGTGAGCCATTAAGGTATTACCTCATGTTATTTGGTTGGACGAAAAAGTGAAGGAAGAGATATGGATGAAGAGATTCATTCAATCAAGGATATACCTTAAGGAACAACATCAAACTATCATAGTTAAATAATTATTCGGTATGAGGACAGAAAAGATAAGGATATAGCTTAGGGAGAAACATTAAACTATCAAAGTGCTAGAATTCAAAGTTTCTCACAAAAATAGGAATACTAGAGGAAGAAATTGAGCATAACAAGAGAAATAGCATCTCTTTTGTTGTCTGCTTAATAATATTATGCCACAGGAAACTGACTAACTTCTTTTTTTTTCTCCAAACACAAGAGTCCATAAAAAGAGAATTCCAATTTCAAGCTCAGTAATATTTTTTCCCTCTTACCAAAGTAGACTTCACCAGTTTTTTTTTCTTTTCTTTATCGAAACACGTCACTTAGTCTAACATTGCTTTACCTTGTCATTAAACATTTCGGTTCTTTCCCGAGTCCATAGTATGTGTACATAGATAGGTACAAATCTGAACCATGCAAATCAATGTTATAAAGACCTTCACTTTTATGGTTAAGGAGATTGTGTTGTTGGTTAGATATAGCGTTATATATATGGTTATTAACACCCAAAACATCAACATTTCATGGTTAGACTCGAATTCTTAAGGGATCTAGTCAGTTAATGTATTATGTAACGAACATAGGCTATATACAGTTTCAACAGAAGAATGGTGGATGAAATGGAAAAACAAAGAGAAAGGGTCAACAAATTTACTAAGTTGGATCCGGTGGATGAACGTGTGTGCTCCTCCAATAAAAATCCCAACCATGATGTTGATGCCCTACCACAATTTCTCCACCACCGATATCGACCACGAAAAAAGCTCTACTGATTACGGCGGTGCATGGGATTACGTTGCCGGTTGCGGGTACATCTACCTAAAACAACGACCAATAGAGGTCGTCGAGGATTGTGTTTCCCAGCTATTTTTGTCATTTTAGGCAGAGCAAAGAAGCCAGAAACAGATCTGCGAATATGATTCACCGCTAGAGGGAAAAAAATTTCACTTTTAAAATTTTGGCAGCGAATCTCTGTGGACGATGGGAATTAAGAGAGAAGATAGAGTTGTCTCTGAAAAGAGGTAAGTAACGGTCAGGAGCGCAAGGAATCTGAGAGGAAAAAGTAAGGACTCTCACATGGAGTACACTGTAGAGAAAGGTTCGAGTTAATGGGAATTCATGGGGTAGTTGAATTCCATCTTGAGGGAGCAAACTCGAATTGTAACTCGAATTTGACTTGGAGCTGTGTCACCTGAACGCTTACTTAGGCCACAACTTGGATTTGAGTTGGTCTAATTCGAGCCCTATCCATGAAATGAACACACCCTTAGGCTTTATGCTTTTATACTTCTTCTCATGTTTTGTCAACCATTTGTTCTTCCTTAAAAATCTGTTCGTTTCTGGTGATGATGATATTTTCTCTCTTTATTGTTGCCTTATATTGAGTAATTGTAAATAATGATTTAGCAATTTTGATGTTGCCCGGATTATTAGGAATTTATGCTCATATCCATTTCTTTACGGAGTTGATGTTCTTTGAACAGTAAGTGGTCTTTACTTCTCAGTTGTAAGTATTTCATCTGTCTTCTTCCAGTTTGAACCACTTTTCCCTTTATACGGTCTTATTATAGGGTTTTTGTTTTCAATGTTTACTCTAGTGTTTGTTCTTTCTTGGGAAGTTCTGGTCATTTTGGTGCAACTGAAGCTTCGAAGCTTCTTTCCTTTTACTTTTATAGTTTTGTCCGTGCTTTCTTACTACTTCATTATTTTTTGTTTGGGTGTATTCGTTCTTCCTGTCGAACTAAAACTTTTAGATTTAGTTTTTTGTTGTTTTTTGTTCTCTCACATTTTCCTCAATCTTCAGGGCTTTGTATTTCTTCTCCAACTTTTCGGTCAATATATTGGGTTTTCTTTCTGTCAAGCTTTTTCTGCTTCTCTTTCTTTTGTTTGTGTGTAATTATTATGGTTTTTTTCCCTGGTGTGTAGTATAAGTCCTTCAATAATTCAGTTGGCAGCCAATGACAATATCAAATCATATTTCAGTTACTTTTAATACATATTGTTAGCAATAAAATATGAATACCTGAACCGTGCAATAGCACGAATACCTCACTAGTTAATACTAAAAAAATCATAAAAATAATAGTTTTATTTTGGGTAAATTGCACGAATGATCCCTAAATTCTTTAAAAAGTGACAGTTTTATCCCCAAACTTTTTTTTGACGAAACGAACCCCAAACTATTTAAAAAGGTGCAATGCAGTTCTTTCCGTTAGATGTCGTCTAAAAAGTAACGGCATAATAACCTAAAAAGGTGACATTATGATTTCTTACTTCTTTACGAGGTGATTTTTTAGTCCCAATCTACTTTAATAGGTTAGGATTTTGTCTCTATTTTTGGATGGTATTTTATGAAAAGTACGACATTGCACCATTTTAAATAGTTTAGAGTTCATTTCATAAAAAAAAATTAAGGATTAAACTGTCATATTTTGATAAGTTTAGGGACCATTCATGTCAATTTTCGAAGGGGAACTTTTGCCCCCTGCCCCTGGTTTTGCTTTTTTAAAAGACGCGGATAGTCGACCGTAGTGCTGGAACTTTGGACGGGCCGCCCGCGACCGCCTGAAAAGCCCGAGTTTTTGCCCGAGCCCGAGCCCGAGCCGTCCGAGAAATTTGGGCCGCCCGCCCGAGCCCGAATTTCACCTTGAACGGGCCGCGGGCTTGTATTAGGCGGCCCGAGCCCGGCCGGGCGGCCCGAGCCCGCCCGAATTGCCCGAATTATTTAAACTTTTTTTTTAATATTAAGTTATTTTGTGTTAAAATTTATATATATATATATAT